CTGAGTGCAGCCAAGGTTCTTACAGATCTGTTACTACTATCTGTTATTTTGTCTCAAACAAGCCTGAATTCAGTTTAGGAATATACAATTAGAATTTTTACTGGCATCCACTGTAATTCCATCTGTTCTCCACAGCGCAGGACACAGCTACCTCTGGCTACCTCTCTCAACAGGATGAGGAAGTGGGGCCTTTCTCCTCAGCACGGCTGCCTCTTGCTCTTTGTTTTATGTCAGGTGGAATCAATGGAGCAACGAATTAGCAAAACAACAGCAACAATAAAACGTGGGTTTTAAGGGTTTGAGGATGCCTTTGGACTCAGCAGACTTTGCCCCTGCTCCTTGTAGGAATAAAATTTATATTCTGCTGGGCTGCTAATGATTACGCCCCTTGACTAAAGCAGATGTGCGTGTAGCAAATAGCCCTGCCCTCACCTGTACGTCTCAGCAGAACAGTGGAGTAGGAGCCAATGAGTGGACGGAAGGTGGAGCCAAGGGGGGAGGGGGCTGGATATAAAGGCTGGTGGATGGAATATGAGGGGAGATTCTCTGAGTGAGAGACAGTGTGAAACTTAAAAGTAAACTTAGAGTGAGTTAGAGGTCTGTAAGAACTCTGAATGGAACAGAGTGTTAGTAGGAGTTTAAAGTTAAAGTAGAATTGATTCAAGTACAAGTGATTAGCAACCTGTGATTTACTTTTGATTATTAATCATATGTCAACTTCCCTGATGTAATAAATCATTTAAGTTTCAAAAGTACACATGTCTCCTTGAGTGAATGGTATTGAGACAGCAATACCTGGTGGCAGCGAAGAAAGAAGAAGAGCGAGAACCTCGTGAACTGGTGAGGGGATAGGGGCTTCAGAGGGGATCGCCACAAAGAGCTAAACCACTTTGCATTTTATCTCCAGACTTTCATGCACCCTGAAGGTGATAGTGACAGAGTCATTAAGCAGGGTTTTGTGGAAGGGAAGTTTAGATGAAGGGTCATGGAACTTTAAAAAAAATGGGGGCAACCCTGCAAAAGATTTAGGATGCTCTCCGTTACTAGAAGAGAAGAACATTAGTCTGCATGTTTTCCCAAATAATTGGGAATCTATAAGGAGGAAAAATGTGTGAAGTGTTACAGATTGAGAGGTGACATAAGAGAAAACAGACCGATCCGAAGCACACCCAGCACTGCATGAACTGGCAAACAAAGTGGCACAAAACGCTTATTTACTGACATTTGGTCGGTTGCTGCTTGGGTCATTAGTAATAGAATCCTCTGGAGATTTGCATTCCTCTCAGGAGCTGAGTGTGTATGAACATTTTAAAAACCCCAAAATGAACAGAGTTTCCTCCATTGGAAAGCAGACAAAGACCAGGAGAAGCACAAACGGATCCTTCATTCAAGACGCTTTTTCCAGTAATAATGATGACTGTCTTAACCTCTCCACTTGATATTCTTTCTTGGACCATTATGGAAATTATATTAGTGATTTGTGTGTTGGGAAATGGTTTTATCATCTTTGTGAATGGATACTACTGGCTCCAAAATAGGAAGATGGTCGTTTGCGACATCCTCTTAACTGCTTTGAGCACCTCCAGATTTCTGCTCCATTTCCTTCTTCTGATGAACAGTGTTCTGGATTTCATCTCTCCAGAGGCCTATTTCAACAGGTACAGAATGGAGATTGTATTCTTTTCCTGGTTGTTTCTGAACATAATCAGCCTTTGGTGCAACACATGGCTGAGTGTTTTCTACTGCCTGAAGGTCACCAACTTTCCCAATGGTCTCTTCTTGTGGCTGAAGACAAGGATCAATGCACTCACTCTCAAACTGCTTGGCATGTCCATCGTTGTCTCCACGATCTTCTCTGTTCCTTCAGCCATCAGTTACTATGATCAGAAGAAGCGGTGCAACATGACAGGAATGCAGCCACTGAATGCCAGCCAAAGCAAGGTTTGCAAAGATATAAACACTGTTTTTCTTCCTCTGCAGTTATGTGTTTTCTCTATAAATTTCATCATGAATATAACAGCATCCATTCTTTTGCTCACCTCTCGCTGGAGGCACACCAGAAATCTGAGGAAGAGCGGCATTGGTGTTAAGGACCTCAACACACGCATCCATGTCAATGTGATAAAGCCTTTGATATTCTCTGTCTTCTTCTACCTTATATATTTTGCTGGCACGATAATTTATGCAACTCATATTGTGAACAGGAGAGAAACTGCAGCAATGGCTTCTTATATTATGTTCTCTCTACTTCCTTTATCTCACTCCGTAATATTAATACTGACCAATCCAAAATTGAAAACCTCGTACGCTCGCATTTTAAATTTCAAATGGAGAGCTTCATAAAGATGAAAAGAGTGTGGCAGATGCATAGCGCTTGTGCCCAAGGGAAAAAAGGGTGTGTGTCTGTGTCTGTGTGTGTGTTTATGTGTCTGTGTGTGAGAGAATGGGTGAGTGAGTGAGAGAGAGAAAGAAAGTCAATATCCCAAAAGTGTGTGAAGAGTAAATATTCAATTATGTTTGGATAATCAATGCATGTTTCTCTTTTGACATGAATATGCAGGCTGAATCCATACATGTGGTGAGCCCAATGTATTCCCTTCAGGACAGCTGCATTTCCTCTTAACTCTTCCCCTGATATATACCTGTGTACATACAGTATCTGGTTTTCTATTGTGATGCTTGTTACTAGCCTATTCACAAACGTCGGTGTTGTCTTTGATAAATCAACTGATTAAGCATAGAACAAAGTGGAAATATATTTACATGAGAGGATGAAGCATGAAAAGAGGATGAGATATGTTTATATTCAAGGGTGAAACCTGAAGGATTGCTCTAATCTGTTGTTGAATCTAGACTGTGTGTTTCAGGCCATGGGATAAAATAGAGATCTTTCTAGATATAACATATTTTTAGTTTTAAAATATGCTGCTGTATTTTATCCTGATGTCAAATATACAAAACTTTTTAAAAAAAATCTTAAATGCTGCATCAAGACCAGCCCTAGGCATTTTGCTGTCTAAAGCAGAGCATCAAATGCTGAAGATACAAGATTTCTTGATTTATGCAGAAGGAGAGTTGGCCTGATCCTACACATTTCATTAGAAATTGATCTGTTGCTAACATATACTGCATGTAAGTAAGAATGAAAACTAAGACATAGTCAGAATTCTTTGGTTACTTGGGAAAAAATTCAGAAGAAGAAACAAAACTTGTCTTGTTTTCATTGATTCTATATCTTCATTGATTCTGTATCGTCTTCTTTTATGAACTTCATTTTGTTTTGTTAACATTTTAAAACAAAGCAATGGGAAAAGGGAAAATCCAATGAGAATGAGGCACAAATGAGAAAAGGAAGAAAATTATTAACAAGTAGGACAACAAAGAGATGTTAGCTGTAAGCTTCCCATGTGTTTGCTTTTCCTGATTAGGGGTAATGGTAAAAAAACTAAAAAAATCTTTAAAAGGTAATGGGAGAATATGAATTCCTAATTTTCCAGTGTCTGTCCCATTAAATAAGAGCACAAGATTAAAAAACCCAGGTATCTATACATAATTACAATACTGAAACATATATACATACATACATACATATATATATATATATATATATATATATATATATATATATATATATATATATATATATATATATATATATATATATATATATATATATATATATATATATATATATATATATATATATATATATATATATATATATATATATATATATATATATATGTATGTAAGTATGTATGTATATATGTTTCAGTATTGTAATTATGTATAGATACATAGATATATAATATGTGTGTTATAGAGCCAAGTTATAAACAGAGGTGAAGATGAGCGAATTCAACCTTTCTCACATTGGGTTGAGAGCTGTTCTGTGTAAAGCCAGGGCAGATGTATTTCTGGGAAGCAAACTTCAGAACCTTCATTTCCAAAGCGCAGGAGATATGACCTAGGTAGGGCAAATGATGTTGCAGAATGGCCAAGAGAAAGAGCTCTGAACATCCACAAGAAGGTTCATTATTTATTTATTTATTTATTTATTTGATTTATACCCCGCCTATCTGGCCTAATCAGACTCTTCGCTGCTAGCTTCCTGTGACACATTTCCCCTAGAAATTCCTAAACTTTGGATCCACAGCTCCAGTAATCTGGTACTACTAGCATGCTAGCCCTCCTTAGACAACATAGGACTGAAGCCAGGAATTTAAATGGCTGTCTTCCGCTGTACTATCATAGGCGGAATGAACCACTTGCCAGTACACAGTAACAAAAAGGGAATACAGCCGGCTTGGGGAGGGGGGGGAAGAACTAAGTGCCAGCGTGGGCAGGCCCTCTCAGCCACAGCAGAAGGGTTGTTGGCCTTGAAGGAAACCTCTGAGGCAGCCCCCTGTAGCCTACCTTAGCCCAGCTTAGTAGTGTTTATTATTTCGATGCGGATTAGTTATTTTATTTAGCTGTAATAATCTTTGAATATGTTCTTTATGCTAAACCTTGAGCAATGTAAACTGATTCTATGAAACTCTATTTTTCTAATAAAAATTAATTATAAAAATTCTTACAAAAGGACTGGTCTCTTGAACAGCAGGGTCTGGCTAAATCCAGGAAGTGGAGAGGGCCATGAACTAGGTATCTTTAAGAGTCCTACCTAACTGATCTGTTGTGATTTCTAAGGAATCACAAAGCCCATGTGTCTGTACTTGCAAAGTACTGGGTAAAAGTAAAATATTAAGGTCAAACTGGTTCAAGGGGAAAATAGTCGTTGTTTTGCAAAAATCGCCCATAGGGAAGCCATTTTGCAAAGCTGCCGATCAGCTGTAAAAATCATCGTCTTGTGAAAAAACGGTCTGCGAAACATGGACCAAATCATCATCAAGAGAAATCTCCCATAGGAAAAACCATTTTGCAAATCGCTATAGTGATCACAAAAAGTCAATGTCTAGCAAAAAAACCCGTTTTGCGGGGTAATCGTCTTCCGAGGTACCACTGTATTTGAGTGAGAAATGATTGATGCATGAAAAAAAGGAGGGAGCTTTTGGAGTTTTTCCCTGCATTGTGTCACTTTGTGAAAGGTAGTGAGCAGAAGAGGGTGTCCTGACCATATTGATTGGTGCCATCAGTGTTGTCAGCATTCAAGCTGCCCTTTACAATGTAAAGTTTGACACATAGATAAATTGGGGTGCAGAGGGGGGAAGTAATAGCAGCTGAAATGTGAGGCAAGTTTCCAGAGTTCAGGAATTCTCAAGGCGTGTTCCAATTAAAAGTGCAGACATTGTGAGGGTGTGTGCTTTAATATTTATTTATTTATTTATTTATTGGACTTATATACCGCTCCATAGCGCTACAAGCACTCTCCGGGCGGTTTACAATTTAAATCTACAGGCTGCACATTGCCCCCCCAGCAAGCTGGGTACTCATTTTACCGACCTCGGAAGGATGGAAGGCTGAGTCAACCTTGAGCCGGCTACCTGGGATTTGAACCCCAGGTCGTGAGCACAGTTTTAGCTGCAGTACAGCGTTTTAACCATTGCGCCACGAGGCTCTTTAAGCGTGTCAGAAAAGCTAGTCTCGCTGAAACTGAATGGGGCAAGCTCACAGCATGGCCCGTTTGTGGTTTTCAAGAGGCATGTTCCCATTAAAAGTGGAAACCCTACAGAGTAAAATAAAATAGCAGACATCCCAAGTCCCAATAATAGGGAACCAGAAAGGAGGTGTGAAGGCAAAGGAATCAGAGGCAAAGGAAACATGGACAACAGAAAGGAGAGATCTAATGGCAGCCAGGAGCAGAGTCCACCATAGGAGAAACTGAGGTTTGGGAGCTGGAAACATGCTCCAAAAGCTGATCCCTAGAAAAGGTCCAACTGGAGAGGTTAGGGTGGGGAGTCTCATCAGCCAAAACCTGCAAAGAGATGCAGTGCCATGGAGACATAAGGGAAAAACAGAAAGGGAGTATTAGGAGACATTTAATTTTACCTAAGCAGCACTGTTTTGCATAGAAGGACATGTTCAATGTCTAAGCATACCTCCATAACAATTTCAGCCAGGGTTGACTTTATATGATGGAATTGATGCCCAGTTTCCTGGTAACACATTTTGTAGGACAGCCATATAATTGTAATGGCCACCCGTTGAAGGTAACGTGGCTGATCTCTCATGAAAGTCTAAGCACACTGTAGATGACAATGAAAGGAAGCTGCCATTTTTTTTTATCAATGTGACCTTAGGCATGTGGCAATTTTGTAAACAGAGATTATCTTCAGAGCAACACAAAACAGGCTCCGACCACGAATCCACACTGAATCTGACAAGATCGCTGCACTATGGCATGATGCACTACAGCCATCATCATCACCTGCTGCCTTTCTGAAGAGGCACCAAGGCTGCAGGTTGGGCCTTTCTCCCAGAGTGGTGCAAATGGTGAAGGCAATGGCACTGAATTAAAATGCCCTAAAGTTTTATAGAAACCTTAATAAGTCTAAGCACAAATAAAAGCACTTGGAAACAGCTATTAATTGTCTGTGTTCCACATTTCTCTCCCTACAGGCAGTCTTGATCACAAGAACAAAAGCTTTCAGACACCACACAGATGCCTTTGAGTTTAGGAAATCATTGTTGGATCTTCTTATCCATCCAAGCCCAATGAATGATGGTCATGTTTAATTCATGTCAACAAGTGCTTTTCTTGAGCTCTTCTGGAGACATCTTATTCAGCAGAATATGGGCTTTCCTACGATGTTAAGCCTTCTGCAAGAGCATTGTATCCGTACATCAAATGAACCAGGGCAACCAATCTGGCTCTTTTCTAAGGTTGATGTTTTGAGTGCTGCACGAAAGGATTGCGGAAGTAAGAGATAAAAGAGATCGCACTAAAGATAAGAACCTATTAGGCATGAACTAGACCGTGCTGACCTCTCCCATTGGACATGTTCCTCCTCTGAAGGCTAACCCACATATTCTATTTGCTCCTGTTTTAGGGAAGGCTCAATTGCTCTTTGAGTTGGATCAGTTTAGCAGAGCTATAAGACATTACTGAAATCCCGAATCAATCCATCCTTGTTGCCCTTCATTTCAGACATTCCCATTTTGTCTCCAGATTTTCATGCATGCTGAAGATAGCAGTGACAGAGTCATAAACTAGGGGTTTGTGGTAAAGAAGTTTAGAAGAAACAAGATGAACCTTGGAAGGGTGCTCTCCATAACTAGAGGCCCAAAACATTAGATTGTTTAAAAAAAAAAACTGGGAGAATCCTACTTGAGTAACTCCCACAACCACAAGAGCTGGGAGACAAAGTGGCAAACACCACTTAGTCACTGACATTTGGTGTACA